ATATATATCTATATATAATATACACACAGGGTGTTAATTGCTTATTTTCTTCTCGTCATCTGTTTGTGATCAGAAGATGTCTCTTTAATCACTAATGTCTCTGACTCTTAGAAGCAGAAGCCAAAATGCTCATGACCCAAGGCTATTGTTTATTTTTGCCCCTCTTGACCCACTGAGGATCCTTCTTTAATTATCTGCTAGCTGCACATTGTCACACGTGTCTCACTCTCCCATCACCGTTTGACAAATTAAATCAATAAGCAATGTCACCCTCTGCCTCAGATTTAAAATTCAAAGCCCCTTGTGTTGAAGCTAGTTCTTGTAAAACACCTTGAGCCAATATAACTATGTTAAATATGCTACATAAATCCAAGTTGCTATTTGCTTGGTTGCTTGCAGTCGTAGTGAAATAATTCTTTGGACTTGCCTTTCTCTATGTCTGGAACTTTTTCCAAGATCTGTGTGTTTCTCCAGCTCAGACCTCTCTTTTACACCTCATTACCTTTGCCCCACTATTGTCGGCCGTCTTTCAACCATCTAGGCTTTAAGCTCTATAATTTTGGCTGTGCCTTTTCGATCTCTCTCTCTTCTTTAACACCCTTGTTAATACTCCACACTTTAACCAAACGTTCCTCACATCTGTTCTTCACCAGGGAGGAGGTTCTAGCTAAATAGCACAAGATAAGTAGCGCAAGCATTTGACAAGGTTCTACATGGTAGATTGGTTAGTAAGGTTAGATCACATGGGATCCCGGGGTAGCTAGCCAACAGGATACAAAATTGGCTTGAAGGTAGGAGACTGAGAGTGTAAAGGGTTGCTTTTCAGACTGGAGGCATGTGACCAGCAGTGCGCCTCAAAGATTGGTGCTGGGTCCACTGCTTTTTGTCATTTATATAAATGATCTGAATGTGAATATAGGAGGTTTATTTATTAAGTTTGCAGATGACACCAAAATAGTGGTGTAATAGACAGTGAAAAAGATTATCTCAGAGTACAACAGTACTTTGATCAGATGGGCCAGTGGGCTGAGAAGTGGCAAATGGGGTTAATTTGGATAAATGTGAAGTGTTGCATTTTGCTAAGGCAAACCAGGGCAGAACTTATATAGTTAATGGTAGGGCCCTAGGGAGTGTTGCCGAACAAAAAGACCTAGGGGTTCCTTGAAAGTGGAGTTGCAGGTAGACAGGGTGGTGAAGAAGGCATTTGGTATGCTTGCCTTTGTTGATCACATCATTGTGTGTAGGAATTGGGAGGTTATGTTACAGCTATACAGGAACTTGATACAATTCTTGTTGCTCTTTTATAGGATAGATGTTGTTAAACTTAAAGGTGTAGAAAAGATTTACAAAGATATTGCCAAGAATGGAGGGCTTGAGTTATAGGGAGAGGCTGAATAGGCTGAGACTTTTTTTCTCAGGAGCATCGGAGGCCGAGGGGTGACCTCATAGTGGTTTATAAAATCACGAGGGGCATGGATAGGGTGACTAGCCAAGGTTTTTTCCCCAGGGTGGGGGAGTCCAAACTAGAGGGCATAGGTTTAAGGTGAGAGTGGAGAGGTTGAAAAAGGACCTGAGGGGTAACTTTTTCACACAGAGGGTGGTGCATGTACGGAATGAGCTGTCAGAGGTAGTTGTGAAGGTGGGTACAATTACAACATTTAAAAGCTATCCGGATGGTAAACAAATAGGAAGGGTTTAGAGGGATATGGGCCAAATGCTGGCAAATAAGACGAGGCCAGATTGGGATTCTGGGCAGCGTGGGTGAGTTGGACTAAAGGGTCTGTTTCCATGCTGTATGACTCTTACTCTTTGAAACAATGACACACCACAGACTGTTTATTCCTTAACAAACATCACAAGCAAATGATCTGATTATTGTCCTATTGTTTGAGGGTACTTGGTGTGGGCAGATTGGACCTTGTGCTTTCCAAGTATATAATTAATGGTAAATAATTTTGGGGCAAGTTGAGGTTGTGAAAGCCAATACATTAAATACATCTATTTTTTGCTCCACTGCTGGTGGCAGGCACTGTTTAGCTGTCTCTGCAACTCCTTCCCTAAAGTCTTCCCCTCTCTGTGTTTTATTTCACATTTCAAAACTCAAAACTCATTCTTTTGTCATAGCTTTCAGCTACATCACCTAACCTCTTTCTTCCTTGTTCTATTTCTATCTTCATTTCACCAATTTATGAAATACCTTTGTTGTGAAAGGCAAGATGTTTTTGCAACAACACACTTGCTAAATCGTCATTGCAGTATTGCAGTCTAACTGTTTAGGATCAGTGAGGTTTTCAACCAGTTATATCTAGGTAGTCCTCTAAGAGAAACTGATCACACTCTGCTTTTTATCCTGCTTCCCAAGTGTTGTAAATAAAGCAGTCTTAAAATAAAAGCATAGGCTTAGATTTACAAGTCAGACTATAATTGCAATGCAGGAACAATAGAAATGAATTCTCAATTTTGAAAGGGTCAGTGGAAGCCTCGAGTGAGTTTGTTCTTATTATCAATTTATCGACAACCTGGCATTATTCACCTTGGTAATGTAATATACATAGGGACTTCAAAATAATTTAATTTATTTTACAGTGTTACCTTGGATACACCAATGAACAGGAAATCAATGCCTAATGCAGATTTCAGCTCCTGGACACCACTAGAATTTGTTGCTGAGTGAGTATCCAGCTAGATCAAATTGTCAGTAATCATTTCATATCTGCCTGTTACTGTCTGGTTTTTATTTGTCTGTCCAATGTCCAGACTCCAGATGAGAGGTTGATTTATCGCGCTTAGCAGGGCCACCGATTGAACACACAGTTATCAAGGACAGCTGACCTTTTCTGAGAGACATTTCCTCTCCCTAGTAATTCATTTACAGATGCTGGATTGGCTGACGGAAATTAATACTTTTGTGTCAGTTACTCTAAGTGGGAAAATCAAATGAAAGCACAATATATTTTTTGCCCCATTTGAGATTTTCTTCCTTTTATGCTTACTGCAGAGTGAGTCACTACTTTAGTTAGAATATGTCTAATATAATACTTTGGTACGTTTTTGTTGAGCTTCAATTTTGTTTTAAATCAACATATACCATTCCATCTAAATTCTGCTGTGCCAAAATAAATTGGACATCATCTCTCTTCATGTGTGAATTTAGACAGTGAGTATCAGTAGAATAGTTGATGACAGGAGGCATCAAAGCCAGGGTGGTCTTTATATTTACCTGGTACATATTGTACCTCGGTTTGCAAGAATTGTTTTCAAAAACAGATGCTGTTTTTGTTTTGCCTTCCTTAGCCCAGGG